CACAACCTGCTGCAGACCCTGCAGAGACCCTCATCAGGTCACAACCTGCTGCAGACCCTGCAGAGACCCTCATCAGGTCACAGCCTGCTGCAGACCCTGCAGAGACCCTTATCAGGTCACAACCTGCTGCAGACCCTGCAGAGACCCTCATCGGGTCACAACCTGCTGCAGACCCTGCAGAGACCCTCATCGGGTCACAGCCTGCTGCAGACCCTGCAGAGACCCTTATCAGGTCACAACCTGCTGCAGACCCTGCAGAGACCCTCATCCAGACACTTAGCCAAGCAGAGCCACTCAATGCTCACATTAAGATCTCAGGACATCATGCCTCAACAGATTTTAATCACAGCCCAGATTTTGTTCTTAGAGTTTCTACTAAACACAACGCTCACTTTCACACATCAGATGATCGTCCTTGTCAACAGATCCGCACATATAACCCTCCTACAGTCAGACAAATAGCTTCATTTTCTCTATTGTTGACTTTAAACAAGCAGGACTTAAATCAGCTCCTCTGATGTAAATCCGACCTCAGAGAAAAAGCAGATCCTGACATTGATGAATCTGATCTCCTCCACCTGGGAGCAAAAAGCTGTGTTTTAATGGCAGGACTGTAAGACAGCAGCAATAAGCAAAGAGGAGGAACTATTAGGGGTCACAGGGTCGACTCCAAATGATCTGAGGTTCATCATTCTACAGAGAGAAAGTTTAAAACAAGAGGACAATCTTTTATAGACCTCTGAGACAGATGAGACCAAAGCAGATCAGCACAAACATCACACAAAGTGTCAGGCATGGTGGTGGAGGGGGGTGATGTGGGCCCCTTAAACTCTCTGATGTTCATTGTTTACAAAATATTATGGGTCCAAACTGGGTCATCAATGGAAGCATAATCCAGAACACATCTTCAACAGGAAGAAAGAATCAAAGGGATTCATTGGTCTAGTCAAAGTCTGCTTAAACTGTTGAGATGGATCACCTCTTCCTGCAAACCTTCAGACCAGGATGTGACTCGCTCTACGGCGGGGGATCAGTTCCCTTCTGTGAATCCGTCCCTGATTACCTCCCCTTTTTGATATGATCATCATTTTTCCTTTTCTCTGAAAACTCCAAAGGTCTTTGTGGCTCCAAAAACCATTTATGTAAACAATCCAAAATGACAAATAATCCATTTGATTTTTAGTTACAGAAATATTCATATGCATTGATTTATATCTGCATTAAAAAACACAAAAAGTTTGGAGTGAATTTTGGTTTCATCATTACTTTAAGAGAGTTATG